TAGGTAGTAATGGAGCAAGCAGTAAGTTGTTTTTCGTTTCCATATCAGTTTGGGTAGTAACCTTTATATGTATGTCGATGGTAGTAACACAAAAACGCTAATTGAATCTGTTTCATTGTAGTCATTTTTGCTCATGTGTGATAAGTGATAATTAAATAAGTATTTCCTTGACTTTAGCTTCTTAAAACCCCAAAAGGTAAAATTCTTCTTAGAAAAGTGATTCTCACGATAATCGCAATTGTAGGTACTACCATTGAATAATAAATCTGAATATTATTCAATGGTACTACCTACTATAGTGATATTACACCCAACTTTGTATTGGGTATCGTCATTGAAAAAAACATTTTTTATTCAGAAACTAATACATTTTGGAAATTCAGAGTAGTCGGTTCGGATATTCGGACAGACGGATGCACGGACCTGCAAACAATTTAACAATAACACATTTTGTAATTCTTATAAAAAGTGTGCTAAAACCGAAACAAAGTAGTACTTCTTCGCTTCTCTTCCCGAATATGTTAACATCCATAAAGAATTTTTGTTGGCAAACTTCAAATTAGCGTTCGGCGGTGTTCATAAACATAAACCCAAAACTCAATTAAAAACTCTAAGCAGGTACGTCAAATGAGAAGCAACAACTATTAGGTAACACTTACGCATCCCTGACATATTTAATGTAAAAGGGCGTACCTACCCACAGAATGGCACAGATTACCCTACAAATCTGTGGCGTACCATCTACTGCATCTCGGAATGAGGAGTAATAATTAATGTCGAGTGTCGACAACGACCTGTAGCAGGGTTAACAAAGAAAGTACCTGCCCTGCCCGATTATCATCGATCAACACATTGACAGTAACCTCCATACTTAATTTTGTTTATACGTAACCATTGAATTTATAACGTATGAACTAAGGACATGTTACTAAAGTATCCGGCTTTGACTATGAAGTCTATGTTCAAGCTTCAAAGGTATCAGGGATCTACTGCCCACTTATACGCAAAGATCCTATAGGTACCTACCCTACTATTTTAATTTAATGATCAGTATGATTTATTGCCTCCTCATTCTGGGACGAAGTATTAGCGCAAGCTTGTCTCGCAACCTAAGAGTAGGTAAAAACACAACCTTATTATTAGACAACCCATGAGACGTGCTGAAACACTCTATAGTGAGGCTGAAAGGGTTTACTTCGCCCTCTTGAGGGAAACTTCACTACACTTGGGCACAGAGTTGTTCTATTTACCAAATCAAAGTGATATTTCGTCGCTAGACTGCACCACAGGGTAAAATTGTTAATCTTCCGCCAATTTTTAAAAGTATCAGTACCAATTTTTAAAAAATTGCTCTAAAATCGTTAGTCAACGAGAGGTAAACAAAATCTCGTTGGTTACAATGAACTGAACTGACGAGAAGCTTTGAACAAAGCTACATAGAAGTGAGTACGGTATTATGAAGCCCTGGAGGGTTCACATTATTGCGATTCCCCTATTTTTAGCGCCTTTACGTAAGATTATCACAAATGTATTTGTAAAAAGGTAACTTTAAATCTCACTTTGGCCGGCTGGCTGGCGGCAAATGCGAGCCAGTAGAAGAACGCTTGTAGAAAGACGAGGATAGTGTAGTACCTACCGGGGTCGTGTAAGCTGGAGATTTTTCAGTTACTTCCTGTCTTCTTCTACAATTTTGGTCTACCTATGTGCGATATTTTTGCCTTTCTTATTCGCGCCTGGATATTTCGTTCCAGGACAATTCGCTCACGGAAAAAATGCATGTTGCTAGAGAAAGGAAGGGTAAATTAACGGAATGGTGAAATGCGGACATAAAAATCGAAGTAGCTAAGAAGAAAAAACTTTGGAGGGTATATCTTGCCAATAACACGGAGAATAATTACGAAAAATGCAGACAACAAAGAAAATCAGTTAAAAAAAAGGTTAAAGCTGCCAAAATCAGGCAGTGGGAGGAATTTGGTAATAAGATAGAAAGAGATGGTAGAGGGAATGCTAATGCTCTACAGAACTATAAAAATCTTAGACAAGACAATGGAACAAAGCTGTTATGTATTGAAGACAGAGAAGGGAAACTATTAACGTCGGAGGAGCAGATAATCGACGGATGGTAATAATATTTTATGGAAGTACTAAAAGGGGATACCAACGAAAACGACTATGAAAAAGGGCCCACTATAGAGAACGGACCAGAATGCGAGGAGGAAGTTAAATTCGAAGAGATACAAAAAGCAGTGTGTAAATTAAGAAACGGCATAGAGAGTATTTACTCTATGGAAACAGTAAGGCCGCCGGACAGGATAATATCGAGGCAGAACTGATTAAATATATGGAGGGAGTAGGACTAGAATTTCTTTATAAAATTATTAAAACAGCCTGGAATACAGAGAGAATACCACATGACTGGACACTTGCAACTATTTTACCGATATATAAAAAAGGTAATAGGCATGATTGTGCGACCTCAGAGGAATTTCGCTACTGGATATGGTCAGTAAAGTATACGAGATGATACTGGAAAAGAGGTTGTCGGGTTTCAGACTGAGACGAGGTACCAACGGAGCTGATATTTACATTACGACGGTCGATTGAAAAAACCCTGCAATATAATAACACCATATATGTATACCTACTTCTGCTTTATAGATTTAGAAAGAGCTTTCGATAATGCTCCACGAGAAAAGATTTAGGACATATTAGAGAGTAGAAATGTTGGTCACAAGCTAATACAAGCCATAAAAAGTATGTAGTGAGAATACACAATAGAATAAGCAAAGTATTTTACACAAAAAGTGGAGTCAAACAAGAGGGTGTGATAACCCCATTATTGTTTATTACACTAATGGATGAAATAGCCAAATATGTGAGACAAAACCAACAAAGTAAATGTGGGAGTATATAAATTACAGAGTTATTGGTGACGACTTGGTAATTGTGGCAAACACAGCGAGGGATTTGCAAGCCAACCTGGATATTTGGAGTGAGGGTTTCAGAAAGTACGGCATGAAGATAAACATCGAAAAAACGGAGGTGTTGGTAGTAGCTATCAAAGGGTGGATGTGAAATTAAATGACATGACAATCAAACAGGTTGGAAACTGTAGGTATCTGGGGTCGGTAATTAATGAGCAGGGGGAAATGGAAGCCGAAATTATCAATAGAGTGACAAAACGCTACTAAAGTATATTACGCGTCAGTCAGTTTAGAGACAAAAATAATAGTATTTTACATTATTAGCCAGGTAAGTGAGTTTTTACTGGCGATAGGAGAAGTTGACTAGCGAGCCGTTAGGCGATCTTGTCATCTCCTAGAGCCAGTAAAAACTATTACCTGGCGTATAATGTACAATATTTTATTTGTTACTCATTTGTAAACAATAGTAAACGTAAATAATTAGTTCTTAAATTAATCTTGAAGAAATGTCTAAAATATCATGTTATCCATGTAACAGAGACTTCGCATTAATTCTGGCCAATGAAATTACTAGATTACTAACTTGTAAAATTTTTACAGGTCTGCTGTCAGTTTTACAGGTCTGCTGTCAGTTTTACAAGTCAGTAGCGTTTAAACATGACGTTTACCCGTTTGCGTTTTGTCTTGTTAATCAACGTTTACAACTGAGTAACAAATAAAAATATTTAAAACTGTGTAGGTATGAACCGGTAGTTTCGTATAGTGGTGAAACTTGGGGTTTAAGCACTAGTAATCGAAGTAAAATCCACGGGTGCGAGATGCGGTGTTTAAGGATGGCGATAGGAGTAACGCGACGTGATCGGATTAGAAACGTGCTAATTAGGGACAAGTGCAATGTGACATCAAGTGACATCACTGGCTAAGTTAGAAACAAAGCAGTTGCTGTGGTTCGGACACATGGCAAGAATGAGCGAACAGAGAAAATATGGAAAAAAGGGGTAGGTAAAAAGCGCAAAAGAGGCAGACCTGGTAGAACATGGAATGAGGAGGTAGGAAAGACCCTGACTGCACGGGGAATGAATTGGAGAGGCGGAACAATTGACGGTAAATCGAGATGCATGGAGAGGTCATTCCGCACCATATACCTTAACACCGTAAGGTAGAAGAATGATTATGTATGTACGTATAACTAAATGCTTGTACGTTTATACTCGCAAGCATGAGTATAGAAAGTAGCTGGCTTCTTTTGTGACGTCAGCAATCGAAGATGACGGCTCGTAGTTATAGTAGGCTCTGGCCCAGGCTATGAGCGGTTGTTACTGGTAAAACCTGCACAGAAGGTTCTTGTCAGACGGCCAAATAAAATACAAAAATATAACAAGGAATTAACGAAAATTGATGCCAGACAATACTTCTGCAGTGGCTTCAGAGCAAATATGCATATTTAAAGTATTCAACGCCAGCCACTAGGTTGGCTATTAGAGAAACCAACTAACACTCTGTTCAAGTATACGAGAGCAAATTGTCCTGGGAGCGAGATATTCGAGTGTCAATTGAACACACCAATGAATTAAATGCACATCAAAAAATAAATTGTACCTTTGTACATTTGTTTTTCATTTTACTGGCTACCGAAAATAACACCTTACTTCTTTAAATCTTCAGATTCGAGAATAAATGGTCAAGTACTTGACAAAATTAATAACAAATGATCTTATAGGCAAAGTATCCACAATAGAAGCTTTACCTGTGTTTAAGCGGTTACATACAAGGGCTTTCAGATTTTTAATAAAACATTCTATAGTACTTGGTTATTTTTATTTACCTTTATTGGTCAATACAAGTACGATAGGTACATGACAAATATGAAAATAAAAATCGGATGATCATAAAGTAATTTTTTTATAAAATTTGATTATTCAAATACGAATACTCCAAAACAAGTGACAGTTGCACAAGTACTTTTTGTTAATTTTTATATCAATACTACCTAATGGATTTTAAAAAGTTTCAAAAATCCATTAAGCTAACAGATTGATACAAGTCTGTTTTAATTCGATAACTACTTTTTTTTTATTATTTGTTAATCTATAAACTGCAAAGTGTTTAAAACTACTGAAGTTTTTGATTAGGGCACAAAGTTGACATGCAACATCTAAACACCGCCTACAATCTTTGATTTCATACCGATGACTACCAAATCTTATTTGCAGCAAAGGCGATGCAAGTTTAATTTCTCTTTTGTTAATATATAAACTGCTCGTGATTCTGTAAGGCAAAAATATGTCAAAAATATGCTAGATTAAATAGGCACTCAAATAAAGAGTTAAGTATTCTATATACTAAGGCAGAATAAGGACAATAGTTTTGACCGACAACACGCAAGATTTTCATTTGATCTCGCATAACCTGACGATCATTAATTATCATAAAATAAATACATTAACTATGCAAACATCCAACAAAAATAATATAGATATAAACGTTTCAAGTTCATTTTAAAAAAAGAGTTAATTTAAATGGGTGGAGTTGCATAGTTTCTATATGTTATTCTATTCATTGTAATAGTACAATCATTTTTCTACTGCACCAGACACACATTTTCAATTGATTTTGTTTTTCTAATAACTTAATTTCTACGATATAAAATTCAAAATATGAAAACTATTGTACACAATGTGACAAATTATTGCATTTTGCAGCATAAGCATTCAACTGCTTGTGAAACATTTCCCGAGCACCGAAACAATAGTTACATTTTCTCTTTCACATCGAAGCTTAAAATGGTGCAATAAAATATACTTACATACGAAAATCATTCCCACATACTATCACACATATTCACAAAGCATACTCACATTTATATGATGAACATAGATTTTAATCATTAAATAAGACCTTGAACAAAAACTCAAAACATTAACATTTAACAAAAATTTTGATAAAACAATAATAATACCCCTAATCCCAACAATAACAACTAAAAACTTCAAAGTCTCATCTAATAGTATGATTCTTTTTTTTGAAAACTTAAAATTCGCGGATAAAATTACATAAACTAAGTCATCTAATATGCAATTGTAGGTGTGTTTTCAAAAAACATTTTTGACAAACTAATTTAATTACAAAAAAATACTTTGGCATCACTGACTAACTTGAAGTGTACCAAATTTTTATGGAAAACAGCTCCTACAATTGAAAACAAAATATTCCCACTTCTATTTGAATACATAGAAAAATAATGAAAATTGTGCATTACCAATTGATAATCCACAACTTCTTGAAACTATCGGATGTTATTTACTTATTGGATGCTACGCTAAAATGCCCAAACATTTTTTTTTTTACATTTAAGATTTTCTAATAGCAACAATAAGACAGATAATGATGTTACACAGGAATTTGCTTACGAAACAGTTAACTAAAAAACAAAAAAGTGGTATAACATGCAAAATTCCTTGAACTTATTACAATATTATTTAAACAATATTGTTATTTATTTACATAAAATAAGCTAAACTCAAAGCTCACATTGTAATGTATCCAACTTTGAGATTATGATTTTGAATGATATCTGCATTTATTCCTAGACAACAAAAAAACACGAAAATGATATGTTTAGTTTTTTTTTACTAGTTTTCAAAACAATGATTATTACCGTTATATTTAAATATGGTAGGTGTGATGAACAATTAAAGTAATTACACGCAGATACAAAAATATGTAATGCAATGGATGCGCAATCCACAAATCTTTTCTACACAAACATTTGTGGTAACGCACGTAGTGCTTAATTCGTTAAATTGCGTTTAAAATAAACCTAAAACCATTCCTAATGGCCTCAAAATTATGTAATAAAATTGTGTTAACAATAAACAATTTAAAATAACAATGCCGATATAAGCATTGTAACTTGTTGCTCCTTGTAGGGGCTATTAAAATGAATTTTAATTCAGCAACTCCACAAAGAACTCAAACATAATAACACACGGGTGTTCCTCAATAATGCTGGAAACCAGCCTTGTTTTAATCTGCACTTAAACATATATGGCAGTTGCTCAATTAGCAATAGAGGGTGCGATTGCAATCATGCATATCACACCAAGAGGATACACCGTGCAATCTAATTAACTAACTCAATCTCCCTATAGAGTAACGGAGTGTAGAACAGGGATAGACGTCATCTGCATAAATCGGTCGTGTTTTATATGTGAAGTTAAGCTCCACGATCCACGATGGACAGGTACGGCATTTTTGGCCGCTTCTATCGTGGGGGAATGTCTCCTCTTGCGTTCTTTCGGACCGGCTATTAATTCCGATATGTCGTAACTTATTTCGGCCGTCGGCAATTGTTCCATGTATGACTTTTGTAAAGAACTCAAGTCGGACAGTAACTGTTCTCCATCTTGACTGATATCTTCACGTAGTTGCGATTGTTGCATACTTAACGGCGGACGTCTTCCATTTAAATCCAAGCAATGAGAACACACTTCACCTCCGTTCCATATATTTTCCAAGACCTCCTTATCCACTTTCCAGGGACTTTCTATCAAATCCGCTTTTGCCCAATTGCTATTCCATAAGGATTTACCACCGTCACATTTATCACATTTAGTTTCACTCCACACCTTGGCCATTTTATTATGCGATACCATTTCCTGCGATTCGTTTGCAAAATTATCGGAAAAAGGAAGATTCAGTGTCAGTATATCGTAGCCTGGTTGTTTGGATTTAAATTTTTGTTCATTATCTAGAATCTCTTCGTCACCGGGAAAGAAAAATTCTTCTCTTTCACTAACCACTCTTTTTTTGTAAGGAACCTGGAAGAATAAATACAACACTTGTAGTCACTTAAAATAAAAAGGCCATGAATGGCCATTTTATGACAAAGTAATACAATTAAGATAATACAATGTGATCAAAAATGAGTTGCTGCCGAGTCACCTTTGGAATTTTTATTTGTATGAGAAATTGTGCTTAACTTGAACTTCCAAAGGCGACTCGACAGCAACTCAATTTGGATCGCCCGTTACTAATGAAAAAAATGTTACCTACCTCTTGTATATTTTCAGTATCCATCATATCAAGAGAATCTAGATTGTCCGTTTGACAAGCTTTATCATTCTGATGAACAAAAAATTTCAAAACCAATGCCGATTTCGCAGACTTATCAATCGGACCCTTATAGTCGAGCAATTTTTTAGGAGAACCATAATCCGACTCGAGATACTGTGAACCGCTATCGCTCCTTTTGTAGTTGGGATTATCCAAACTTCCCGAAATAACGAAACTTGTGCCATCGGCATACTGCTTTCTATTGCGATGGTCATTTAAACTGCTAACGGAATTAATAGGTCGAAAATGACTATTCACCGAAGTGAGCAAGTTGTCCTCTTCCTTTTCAGTATCGGATCTTTTACTTTGGTTCAGCAAATGTGTCACATTAGATGTTTTGTTAAATAAGTTGGGACCTGATTTTGGCACGACCTCCATAAACGAACTTTCCTCTCTACTGTGGTTCAATTTTATAAGGCTTCTGGATACGTTTTGTAAATAATGCTCGTCGAAATACTCAGCTTCTGACCACTTTTCGAACTTTTCCATTCCAGAGACCGTGTTCCACAAATTATTACTAGAGAAATCCATGCAATTTGCAGACGATCTCTTACATTGTTCGACAAACATATTTGTTTCATTTTCAGCAACGTCAGAATTGGACCAAATACTTTCAATGCTATTGTTGCCAACAGTTAAAGACTTAAATTTCATTCCAAGCACAGTTTCCGAATGATCTTTATCTAATACCGAATTGTAAGTGTTATCAAACATTGTGGTGTCAGCATCAAAAGTCCAAATGGAGCTTGTAATGTTAGTTCCACATTGAATAAAGTTTTGATTGCTAACATTTCTCATATTTGCCAAATTCATCATTTCCATAGGGCTTGGAGATTCTAACAGTTCCAGTATGTCCACAGGTAAATCGTCACATATATTCATACTGTCTTCATCGTGCCATAAATTTCGATTCTCTTCTAATTTCGTAGGTTTCTTGGATATGCCATTATTCTCCACCAGTGCTAGTTTTTCTTCCACAATATATTTGTCAGATTTATGGCCCAACTTATTTTTTGTGTTATTTTTAAACAAGAACAGATCCCAATCGGTCATGCTCTCAGATCTCTCCACTGACTTGGCCATACTTCGCGTATACCCTAGATCGTTTCGGCTTCTACTAAAATACCCCAAGCGTTGTTTCGCACTATTACATGATTTCATACTATCGCTCTCTACCTTGTAGTGCAACTTATCATCAAAACTGGATGATCTATTCTGCCTTCTTGCTCCTTTTTTCTTTGGCGATGTAAAACACTTTGGTATTAAAGTTACTAATTTGCTCGGAGTTTGCGATGCGTGGCGATGACTTAGCGGTGGAAAAGCGGCGTAGTACTTTCTTGCTAAATCCTGAGGCGAGATGTTCTGGAAATCCAAAGTTTGATTGGAACCTGGCACTGCAGGATTGATACTGGAATCGTTATTAACTTCCTTCAGTTTTTCACACAACTCGTCCACTAATGATTCTATTCCAATACTCTACAGACAAAAAAATTGCAGATGTAATTATGGTCTCATGTGTGTTTTTAAAAGTTAGTTGAAAATAATGGATTTGTTCATCATGCGGTATAGGCCTTCAATTTGGGTAAGTAAGAACATGTAGCTAGCAAATCCATTAACAATGAAAAATTGATTTTATTAGCTGCGTTTTATATTCCTACAAAATACAAGTTTTATTTCTTATGTGGTAACCTACAAAAATAGAAAATAATGGCTGAATAGGAAACAAAGGTCAGAAATTTCAGTTTATTCAGTTTTGAGTCAATTCATAGGCGTTTTCCCTTACTTAGTCATTTCAACTCTATAATTATTGCACTATAGTAGGATTTTTCTTAGTTTACGTACACGCCATCAATTCTGTTTTTGGAGAATATTGTAATGCTAACGTATTGACAAAATAAAAAAAATCATTTTAAACCACAATAAACATTAGAATTAGGTGTTTATGTTAGACTGATTAATGTATTTCACAAAATTTATTTTTAATTTAATTTAATTTAATGATGCAATATGGGAATATCCCCAAAAGCACAAACATATTTCGGTGTACAGTTTCAAAGTACTACAAAAAATAAAAATAACTGCATTTTAAACTAAATTTTAAATTAAGATTAGGTACAAGTTGAGCTAATAAATGGTAGGTTAGATATATAATAATTTAAAATGCCAAAAACTATAACAAAAATAATAATTATAAAAAACAATAATTCAATGACTCAAATAAATGTACAGATCCTCTACGAAAAATACAAATACACAATGTGCGTTATTTAAAAAATAAAACCAAAAACCTTTAATGAAAAAGGTTTTTTTGTCAATCGAAATTGTGGTAGTTTACGTTTACATTGCAACACGTCCTATTTGACAACTGTTTGCTACCGTTTTCATTATTTTATCGCGTTTTGCTACATTAGCTGATAACAAATCTGTTAGTTTCACAACGAGCAATTATAGAAGAATAACTTCCGTAAGTCTCACTGGCGATATTCTGCGCCAAAAGTTGTATCACCCAAAAGTGAAGTCGGGTACCAAGAAAAAGTTATTTTGAACGAAAGAGAGATTAGGATGGTCCACTTTTACCAGTCGCAGCAGTAAGAAAGGTGTGTGGTTACATTAGTAGTATAAAAATTTGTATATACAGGGTCTTCATTAATTACTGAGACCCACGTGACTGCAGGTGGTTAGGCAACTAAAAATGCGCGAGTGGTAATCCTGATTTTTTTCCCCTAGGAAAGTTACTACTGAAGCCCAGTAATATTTGAAGGCCGAAATAAGTATTTTAGAGAAACACGAAATATATTGTACTATTTATTGTTACAAAAGGTGCTCAAAGTGGCCACCGTTCACTTCCAGGCACAAATTCACTCTACGCTTCATATTTTCAAATACACGTTCGAGTTCATCTTGCGTCACATCGTTTATTTCTTGTCGTATCGCCCTTTCCAATTCTTCGAGTGTGTGCAGCCGATTTTTAAATATATTATTTTTAATTCGTCCAAACAAAAAGTAGTCCAATGGTGTGAGGTCAGGACTACTTGGAGGCCACAAACCAGTGCTTATAATTCGATCGCCATAAAATTCTTGGAGGTATCTAAGCGTTTCGTTAGCGGTGTGTGCCGTGGCTCCATCTTGCTGGAAAAATCCATGTTGTAGCTCATCATCTTGCAGATTTTTTCAATAGCTTGATGCAGAATTGCACGATATCGCTCTCCGTTTATAGTTTCATAAAAAAAATCGGTCCAATTATCCTCCTTCTTGACATGGCTACCCAAACGCCAACCTTTTGGGGATGTAGAGATGTTTCGACAAAAATGTGCGGATTTTCTGCTGCCCAAGTCCGGTAATTTTGGCTATTAACGTAACCTGACAAATGTACCCATGCTTCGTCTGAATAAAACGTTAGGTCTAACAAATTGTTATCGTTTAAGCGTTCGTTGAACCAGTGGCAATATTGCACTCGACGATCGTAATCAAGTGCATGTAATTGTTGCACGGAAGAAATTTTGTACGGATGCATGTGTAGCACCTTCTTCAAAGCTTTGTGGCAGGTACCAGTCGATAGGCCTATAAAAAATACATTTTATTTTCTATTACACAAATACACGTGAACTTAGCCGTACCTGTTTGAGCGGAAAGTCGAGAAATCGATTTTTTGGAACTTTGTTCCATTCGTTGTTGAATATCGTTAACAACATTTTCACTTAAAACAGTCGGTCTGCCTGTTGACTTCCCTTTGCAAATGCAGTGCTTGTTTTCATATCGTGTTATTAGACGTGACCTGTGGTTCTTAAATACATCGTAGTCGATATTAACATCAGGGTACTCTTCGGAAAACTGTTCAATGCACGATTGCAGTGAATAGCTCCAAGTTCCATCAGGATTTCGGTTACCACTGCGGAAATGTGCCATTAAAATAAAAGCATCTTGCTCTGGTGTGAACACCATCTTCCTACGGCGATACACTAAAAATTCAGAATAACTTAATGACAATTCTCCTTAAAAAATTGTTAACTTACATCAGAATAACTTCGTAGCGTTAAGAGCTCTGAAAAGAACTGTTTTGGCTGTTGATTTAAGATAATGTTAAAGAAATTCGAAAAAAACGGTAAACACAAGCAAAGATTGACAGGAGGTGAAATAAACAAATATGCAATTTGGGTATTTTGTTTTAACCAACTGTCCGTGTCTACTAACATAAAGAAAAAATATTTAAAGCGGGAAATTTAAATTTGGTCACGTGGGTCTCAGTAATTGATGAAAACCCGGTATAACAAGTTTCATTTCATAGAGGGGTACAAATGCATTAAATATTAGCCTGCAAACAGAGACTTCTATTTAAGGAATATCTAAATCGGGAAAACCTCTAAAATGTCCTAAAAAAACAAGACAATGTAAGAAACCTGTTAGCGATGTTGATGGTTTCACACAAGCACCGATTCTCCAGAAACGATTATGTCAGATAATAGAATAAAATGAAATTAACCTCCAGGGTGCCGTCCGGAAGGGTTATCGCAACCCTAAAATTACGGATCTTCTTGTCAACTCCACTATGGAGTTATTTGAACAAGATTGTCCTCAGAGGACTGCCAAGACTCTCTATAACCACCCCTGGTAGTGAAGGGCGCTCGAAAACTCAGTTGGACAAACTGTTATAAGACAAAGAAGATCAACCAAAGGTTATAACTGTGTTCCAACCAGAGTTGGTAGGACTAACGCTCAGTGCCTGAAAAGTTTTTAAGCATAACATAAAGAACAAAACTATCAAAATACAGGGCTAGATGGAACATGATGTCAGATTGTCGCCATGCAAGAGAAGCCTTCAAAGAAGCATCTCGCAGACTGGAGGATTTTTTCACAGGGCTATCAAGAAAGAACCTGATAGATATACGTGACCCTGTCCACCCTCGTATCATAACCCAGAATCCAGTACCCAGATTCGAAAGTGCTGTAAAGCGTCCGTCGTTTTGACATGCAAGTAATGGTAGCTCTGCTCGGGAGTATGGGGTCGAAATAGCAGTCACTTCTCGACTTCTGCTGCTAAGTACTGCAGGCTTTGTTATTATGAAAAAACAATTAAAATCTTTTTTTAAATTTTCTTTTGTCAAATAATTATGCCATCGCAGCATTGACAACCTGTTACAAATAACTAGATACCGAAACATTTTTTAGTCAACAGAAGTCATTGATGTAATGAGTATCCTACTCACAATGCACCATTGGCTGTATGGCGCCTAGATTCATATTTTCTTCTAATGATTGCATGATGCTATGTAAACATACTTAGTGATGACGTCATAATACACCGATGACGTACGCACAAACTAAGGAAACCCTACTAGAGTATAATCTTGAGATAAGTCAGTAGAATAAAACCATCAAATTACATGAATCAGATTTAAATCCTACAAAAGGTTTTATTGTTTTAATGGTTGCATTTGTTGGTCAATATGACTATCCTAGCGCTCCCCCCCCCCTCCCCCCGTGGGCTTAAGCGGTGGGGAGTAAACATGTACGTACAAGACGGGTATTTTTGCGGTTTTAACACAGTCCCATTAATAGTTTTAGAGCATAAAATTCTGCATTGAATGAGACCCACATTTTTTGGACCACCCGTTGCCATACTAGTGCTTATCAAACATCACACTTTCATTGTAGTGTCTCTTTAGATAGTAAACGTATTGGTGATGATTAATTGGAATATATCACCATTCTTCCACACAGAATAAGTATACCGGGTGGTACCTAGCGCGACGCAGCATAGGGATTTCAATGGTAATTTCTTTATAATCAATTACTAGCTCCCCTAATTATTTTAGAGCAAAAGTCTAAATAAGTTTTTTTTAGAAAAAAAAATACTGAATCTGTTCATGCTATTACTCATAATTTTCCGTTTTTCAAAACCGTAGAAATCGACAAAATAAAATGGTTCATTTTACAATAAATCAAATATGCCTTGGAATTACCTAAAAAAACAGCGATCACGTTTCATTATTTGCCTTTGACGTATATTAAATTTATACTTGTTTATAAATTAGTTAAAGAACTGCAAGTGCAATAACGTTCAAAATGTCCGTCAAAACCATCAGGAAAACGACAATACATTCAACGTTTTGGCTGCAGTAGCGGAAAATCCGAATATAAGTTTAGGAACAAATCTGCTTCAAATCAGTTTTTTTCTTCGATTATGTAGGTACTCTGATTCTCTCTGATAAACAAATAGTATCTGATGCAGATGCAGCATACATTCTCTAAAAAACATTACCCAATTGCCGCTTTTTCTTGCATGTGATAGTTGTAACAGAATTAAATATGAAAATCGTTCGACGTCAAATAACGATAACTTAGATGCGATGCGCTTGTAGTTTGTTAAAAGATTCCAAAGCATCACTGATTTATAAAAATGTAATTTTTTATTTTGTCGATTTCTACGGTTTTGAAAAATGGAATAAATAAGCAGATTTGTTCCTAAACTTATATTCGGATTTTCCGCTACTGCAGCCAAAACGTTGAATGTAATGTCGTTTTCCTGATGGTTTTGACGGACATTTTGAACGTTATTGCACTTGCAGTTCTTTAACTAATTTATAAACAAGTATAAATTTAAGATACGTCAAAGGCAAATAATGAAACGTGATCGCTGTTTTTTAGGTAATTCCAAGGCATATCTGATTTATTGTAAGATGAACCTTTTTATTTTGCCGATTTCTACGGTTTGGAAAAACGGAAAATTATAAGTAATAGTATGAACAGATGCAGTATTTTTTTCTCTAAAAAAAAACCTATTTAGACTTTTGCTCTAAAATAATTAGGGGAGCTAGTAATTGACTATAAAGAAATTACCATTGAAATCCCTATGCTGCGTTGCGCTAGGCACCACCCTGTATAGGACATCATACGAACAGTGCTGCATTGTGGTTGGTATACTCTTGGACCCTTAGAGGACTGTTGGTGTAATGAGTATACTAACCACAATTCTGTTCTATCGTTTGCAGAAATTAAGTTGTAATACACCGATGACGTGCGCGCTAAAATCATACTTCATATTATATAAAATGTCCTGCAAATTTGTTTCTGCAAAATTGTACATTTAATATTTTTTTTACAATTTTCATTTCTGGTTCAACATACATTCAAGGGTGACCTATAGGCTATAAGAACAACAATGACGAATACATCAATAACCATCTAAATTTAATTGAAGTATTCATGTGAAAAATTGGGTGCCAAAAATGTTCCTGCTTGTCTTGGTTATTTAATTAAAATTTCTCTAATTTCATCCTCAACAACTACATGGTCAGTTATTTTCAAGGCTACTTCAAACAAACAAAAAATTAACGATTGATTAACATGAAGTGACTTATTTATAAAAATCATTGGATTTAAACCATCTCAACCCTGCATTTTCGGGCCCAAAATGGAAAGGAAAAGAAAAAGAATTCAAATATCTACATTTCGTTTTAACCCATGAACATAAAATGTATTGTTTTTTCAAAAAGTTTTATTTTTAATTACTAACAAAATAAATAACGAAAAAACACTTCTAGAAAACCCAACAACCTCAATGGGTTTTATATAAGGCTCCAGCTTCTCACCTGGTTCAACGATAAGTAAAGAAATCAGCCTTGTGTTTCTTTCAATTATTGAACAACGGTTAATTGCAATTGTATTTTCAAATCTCATCACAAAAAACAGAATTCTCTACCACTTTCAATTAAAGCGAAAAATGTGAATAGTTTCGGCTGTTGATATAATCGAATTCTATTCTACAAAGCAGTTAATAGTTAGATACCTGATCAGCAGCGGACATAAGGCACTCGATTGCAGCCGAGCGCTTCAGCCGTTCCGCATATTCGCGCCACTCTGAAAAGCAGCGAAAACGTTTACGACCGCTGCCTGAGCGCCTCACTTCCTACATGCAATTAATATGGTTTCAATGAAAGAAAGATAAATGGAATGTATCATCACACTAATAAGACGCCTATGGTACAATGTTTCCGGTAATTACCTGATTGAGATGCGCGAAATTCAAATCTTGATCAGGATAAGCAATGTCCACGGAATCACGATTCAAGAGACTTATGACATAACGAGTGTATATGACTGCGTCAATTCCACGTGCTTCCAATTGTTCCTCGAGCCAGTCTGAAATTTCTGAGGGCATGGATACCAACTGTGGGTACTTCATGCTCTACATCAACAAAGAAATTTTAGCAAAAAAAAAAACAATAACCTTACTCACCTTACTTAGTATCGACTTGAAGAGTCCCTTAGTTTATTAGCGGTTATATGAGTATCTTGCCACTGTCCAGAAAAATTATGGTCAAAGTTGGTACATTTATTCATTATGGGGAAGTGTAGTGTTTTAGATTTGTTTCAACTGAGCGTATTGAGTTATGATAAAAAATGAATAAACATGTAAACATAAACTACATCAAAAGGTAACGCTTCCAGTTTATAGAGGTGCCATTTATTGACTGGACTTGCAGTAAAAGTTGACCCCCATTGCCGACCTGCAACAAAAAGTTACTATTTTAAGGAATAATAATAATCCAATTCATTATTTCCTAGCTCCTTTAGTAGTAATTTAAAAATCTACTTCTTGGATAATTAGTAGCAAATGCACAATACACACAAAAATAAATTGAACTGTAATGTTTCACAAAATAATTAATAAACGTATTTTTTTTCAATTTTGTTAACTTTGTTGTTGTGCGCAGTAATTCAACTGAAGTTGTTCTACCAACCCAGCACAGTATAATATACCATACTTCCATATAATAGAAGTAAGGCTTGAAATAACATTGTGTAAATTACTTATTCCATATATCAACACTAATAGAATAACATTTTGTATTATTTCTCTAAAGCAAAAATGGCAGTTTGATATAATTGGCCCATTCAATACAGTCTGAAACAAATATAGAAGAAAAAAGTACCATAAAAAATATTAAAGTGGGTATGTGTTATGTTGCCAATATAATATGGATACTTGCCATTGACGTGTTCGTTCTATTACGTTTCGTTAAATCTACAGTTTTTTTATGTATGTTATTCTCAATAGCCGAAATCGGACATTTATGCCCATTACGAACATTTAACCGAAACGTGTTGTGGGTAACTAGTACCTACTCATATGTGCTCTTGTTTCGGGTTGTGGGGGTATCTTGGTTTGCTCACTTCGCGTTGCGTGTAATAAGAATTAGTCATAGAGCCTTTAAATGAAACAGTAAAATACAACTTTTGTTCAAGAAATAACATTATATAAAAATAAAAATTTACTTTAAAGGAAATAATAACGTTTAGTAACATATTATTTTTTATACACCGCGGTCCGCGACATGGGCAAACAAAGATATCCACAATGCAAAACAGGAGCAGATGGGATTTGGCTTCGGATTGTGGGTGAATAACTATGCCCACAACGCGTTATGGTTATAAAATTCAAGCATTGTCCGATTTCGGCTATTGAGAATAACATATACATTGCATGTCATTTTGCAAAGAGCAATTGGCACTAAATAAAACATTTTTGTTACTCCAAGTATTTATACATATTGCACAAAGTTTATAATTACAGGGTGTCATAACTGAGAATCTAAAAATTTGAGAAATTGATAGATAACTATATTTTTTAGTATGTCCTTTCCAATTTTGTAAAAACATAAAGATAACAAAAAATTGTGATCTCAATGAAATTAAGTACATGGAATATGAAAACAACAAACCCAAATAAGAAATTTAAAAAAAATTGCTTACCTAGCACAACATTTTTTTTGAAAAGTCTAAAAAAACTGTGAGGTTTGGTTTTCACATGGAATTATCGCCATAAGAAATAGATTGTAAACTACGAGGCAACAATTCCCAAATGAAATACTGTTTAGTATCACTGGTTTTGTAATTTTTTTCTCTATCAAGTGACGTAAAAATTCAATATGGTGTCTATTTAAAATAAGGAAGTTGATGTCAATCTCTTGAAAACCGTCATTTTGAAAAAAATGTTTCTACGTTCATTGCATTTATCCCATCAAATGTTGCAACTTTTATTTGAACTTTTTTCGATAGCTCTCTAGGGGTCGAGGAGGAGGAGTATGATTGGTAGAAATTAATTCCTTTCATCACAGTGCCATGAAAAATAAAAGCCAGTGTCTCCCCCCCCCCCTTCCCCTCAATTTTGATAAGGGGTTATTACCATATTATATTTAAAAGGGCGGTAGTTGGAAAACAGTTCAGTGCGTTGAGACCTTTAATTAGAATAACCCCCTCCACCCCGACGTCCAACGATCTCGAAAAATTGATCAGTACTTCCAAAATGTAATGGACTATTTATGTGTGCAAAGGAAAATAAGTTATGGCATAAATATTCTTATAAATAAGAAACAGTCCGCGCATGCGCACACTTGATATGTGATATGTTTGCCTTTACTAGAAGAATATTGTCAAGTCCCCTCTTTAATAATCATGGATAAACTGCGGTTTCCCATCGAAATTTGGACACCCTGTACATTTCCCTAAAACAGATTCATTGGGGGGGGGGGGGGTCTCATATAGTGCACGCACAAAAAAGCCGCTTTTGCAGTAAAATGAGAAATATTATTATAACCTCGATTATAACACATACATGCTTTTTAGACCCAATTTTAAGAGGAAGAGACATTGCTGATTTAACCATCTTCTCAGAGCATGATTTGTACATACAGGGTGGATAACAATGTCCCAAGGGGAAAGAGGGCTGTATATTACTTTGCCCCTACCCCTAAGACAAATTCAAAAAAAACAAAATTGGTTGTACCACACTTTAAAATTGAAGCAAGATGGAAGGATTAAAGTTTGTAAAAATACAATCCTGAGGGGGCAGTTTATTCCTCCAACTGTAGTTGAGCACACCGAAGAGATTAGGACACACTTCAGGTGTATAGACACTATTTTTGAACTCCGGTAATCAGTTACACAATTTCAATGTTATCCGAGTTAAAGTCCAAGAGAAAAACAAATTTTCGAGGGGGTAACCACTCTGGAAATACATGTACGTTTTACTGTGGAAATCGCAGAAATCACTTCTGAAATCGCGGAAATCACTTCGAAATCGCGGAAATCGCTTAAGAAATCGCAGAAATCACTTCGAAATCGTGGAAATCAGTTAAAAAATCGTGGAAATCAGTTAAGAAATCGCAGAAATCAGCTAAGAAATCTCGTGGAAATCATCGGAAATCAGTTCAAAAATACTCAGCCGGAAATCTTCGCCAACTTTCGTCGTGGCTCGAGTTACTCATGGAGTTACTGCGCTGCGAGAGTTACTGGAATCGTCAGTCGTAAATCGTAATTCATTTGGTGTTGAACCATTTTTTAGGTCTGTGTTAGCTGAGAAAAACGCGCGCAAATTCAAGATTCTCCAGTTACTTTGATCTAGATTGAAGCTTCCTATCGGCCTTAGCGGCAACAGAAGTGACATTATGGAAACAAAATTCCGAATGCCTTCCATGAAATAGTTATTTGACAACATGTTTGATGCGATTTGATCCTGTGGTTTTTCTATGTGTTACTCTCAAGTTAGAGGTAGTGCAGAAAAATGAAGACTTTTTCACATTCCTCTAGGTCTAGAAGTTGGTTAATTGGCGGTCAAATATTAGTTAGGGACTTTCTTTCAGATTTCAGTTAAACTTATTTGACAGATAATTTCCATGGAAATAAATGTATTCATATTGCAGCGAACATTCCAAAAATTTCTATAGATATCGAAGCGCCATGAAAGATTAGTAATCGGCGATACAGAACGGAGGCGGATGTGACGCAATCCCGGAAATATGACGTATTTTGTTCTGGAATGTTCGTAACCGCTCGCGAATACTCGACTTTATTATATAAGCAAATTGGATTGCATTATACGACATTTCCAACTTCGATATTTTTGAGTTATTGTTATAAATTGTAAGTGATAAATAATAATTATCGTTATAAATTAATTCGTCTTAAGACAGTTATAAATTTATTATCATGACAGCCGAGCGTATATCTCATCAAAACCAAAAAGTGATAACGAAATTTAAATCTTATGTGCAATTATGTGCAGATCTGGATTCAACAAATTGAATAGACATTTAAAAAAAAATCACTTTGTATAGGTGATGTTTTCGTAAACAATATTCTTCACAAATTCAAAAAAATATCAATTCAGTCTGCTTAATACCATTTTCTTACCACACCAAAACTGAAACTGAGAAATTATATTTGCTGAACAGTGAACAGTGCGAGGCGAAGCCGAGCTATCAACTGTTACGAAACAGAGTGAGGCGAGGCGGCAAACCCGCCGGAGCCGAGCGAATGTCTCCTCAAAACCAAAAAGTGTTATCAAAACTAAAAAATCTTATGTAGAATTATGTGCAGATCTGGATTCAACAAGTTGAATAGACATTTAAAAAAGGTGATGTTTCTATAAACAAAAATATTCCTCACAAATTCAAAAAAATTATCAAATCAGTCTGCTTAGTATCATGTTCTTACCACACCAAAACTGAAACTGAGAAATTGTCCTTGATACATGATACATGGTACATAGGTCGAGTAATCGAAATCAGGAAATTGAACACCGCATGTGAACAGGTCTACAATATGAAATTTCTAAAACACGATCTTGACTCATACATATGGCCCAAAGTTGAGGACATCCAAAATGTAGAAAGATCCTACATATTCTATGGACATGTGGACTTAAAGGGTAGTGGTCCATTTACCCTAACAAGATATGAAAAACAGAAAATAGAAAAAATATTTAAAAAAATTAAAAGTAGCGCTGCAAATATTTAGCAATACTTCACATACGTCCTAGACATAAATAATACGTTTTATGCGAGGTTTTATGTCTATATTTTTGTTATAGCTTGGGCGCTAAATAAAACGTCATTATTATTTTACTTTTATTTTATGTATCGTGCATTTTTAGCGGTATTTCTATTCATGAAATCAAACTTCATTCTATCCCAAGGATAGGAATTTCCTGGCTAGATTAAGTTTCAAGTAAACTGCTTTTTGCAATCAGTCCGTCAGGTAAATTGAGATTTTCAGGGAGCCATAGAGGTTTTTAGAAATATTATACCAGTTGCTAATATTACTATTGGTATTATCAAAACTTGGTTAAGATACTCGTTTAATTTCTATAGCGAAATCTTTATATCTTTGTATCTTCTCTTGTTGTGTTTTAATAATATTATTGGATAGAGAACAACCATCATTAGAAAGGGTTTCTTTACTTGTTTTGTCGATGTGAAGTCAAGATCACGATAGAGTGCTTATCAGATCTAATATTGCGATACATTAACATTCGATTCCAAAACAAATGATGGTAGATATTTATACTATGCTTTCAAAGATTTTAGCAAATGGTATTATTGTGCAAATTTACTAAATATAATATTAATATTATTCTTATTATTTTGTGAGCACTTAAGAAAAGGCTGGTTAACTAAATACTTTTATTATTAGTTATTAGCTATTCATTATCTGCAAACTGAACTTTAAAATGCAACGCAATCTAGGTGTGATTTCATTTGCAGACCAAAAAGGTACATAGTGACGACGCAATACGTATCTACAAACATGATACCACTATAGGTTCGTATTTGCCTTGCATTTTTTACCTTACAACACCACCACACGCCACAAATCCTATGTAACTTTAAAGAAATTATAGAAATCATTGCATAATATAGGGAAATCGCAAATGATTTCCGGGAAATCAATGAGAAATCGCAAGTGATTTCCAGGAAATCAACCAGAAATCCCAAGTGGTTTTCGAGAAATCAACGAAATCGCTTAAAAATCGCAAGTGATTTCCAGATTTCTAGAAATACGTGTACGTTTTCACTAGAGTGGTTACCCCCTCGCAAATTTTGTTTGATTGTAGAATCAAGATACCTTGTCATGTTAAGACTGTAACAGTAAAAAATATTAGTTTAAAATAAAGATTCTCGTTCAAAATGACGGCGTAAAAATGATCATTTAAAGCTGCAAAAGAACCTATAAAGAATTTACTGCCCCCCAAATTCAAAAAGATGTACAGGGTGTTACATATTAGTATGTAAAAAAAATTGAGTGGTCGAGGGTATCAAAACAAGGACTTTTTCCAAATAATTTTTTCGTTTGAGGGCCACTCTCAAAAAAGTGAACTTTGCGTTTCTTCTTTAATTTTTTCTCAGCAACCATAAGTTACAAAAACTAATGGCACGTCGTTGAATAGCTTTTAGGGTATGCCCTTTCTGATTTTGAAACATTGTTTTCAAAACTTCTACCACGAAAGGGCGCGCCCCTAAATGGGGGTGCGGAAAAAATTGATTTCGATGAAATTCTGTTAGAAAATATCCCCCGCCTACTAGTGAACCATCTAATTTCACATGCAGCTAGACATGCAGCTAGTTGAGAATGCAAATAACAACAAATTAGTGATTTATACTAAAATACTGGAATAATGCTTATTATACTTAAATTACAGTTTTCAAGATCCCACCTGTTAAAACAAATTTTGTTTAACCTCAATACTTATATTTTTCTAACATCTTCATAAATTTTATTCCTGTGATGGGAGTATTAAATATAATACTTATCAATGTTTTTTTCTGATCTTTTGACACAATATTATTAACACCCTGGGGCACAGATTTTACATCAAGCAAACTAAATTTAAAGGTAAAATATTTTCTTTATTGCTTAAAAACGCTCTACCCTACTGTACAAAGGAGGAAACACTTGCATACAATTTTCGTGACTCAGACGTAAGAGTTAAAAGCTACAAAAAAAAGCAAAGCATGGATGGAGGCACCCCTAAAAATGGACGTTACAAAATATATTATCTTTGCAGGTATCTGAATCTGAAAATCCATGAAGCCAATCATTCTTTCATAAAATATCCACTGAAGTTCTGCTGAAACTCACATTCGATTGGCTCACTGACATGATAAGTAGGATGAAACGGGTATCCAGTAACTATCCAGTATCCGACCTTATTTTGATATCCGGGCGAATACAGAATACCAACACAATATCCAGCCGGATATAGAATATTCAAAAAGTACATTTTCTTGATATCAAAATATTATCAAGTTGGCTACTTACTCACTCACACAAATCGTGCAGCAAAATGTTTGAGCAAGCAAATAATTCACTTTCACGGATCACCAAGTCATGATGACACCTAGGCACGCCTGAATTCTTCCGATCATATACCTAGGTAGTACTTGTGCAGAGGTAAACTCGTCGCACCATGCAACGTGAGGGACCTACTAGAAATACCAGCTCTTACAGGTTTGTGTGACATCCTATGTCAATAATCAGCATTAGTCTGGCGAAATGTAGAAATGCTAAATATATTAATTTAAAAAAATTGCATTGACCGGCAATCGAACCCGGGCTGCCTGCGTGGCAACTACAACGATTAGATGAAGGGCGACAATGGCTAGCATGTTAATATACATATATGGATTTCAAGAACCATTCTATTTACAAGCGAATCAATAAACTGAACAACAACACAAACCTATAACCTATAAGATTATGTGCTTTGCTAAATCCAAAATCAAGATTTGTAAAAATCAAAATTTTAAACACTTCCTCTGAGATAACAATTTTCTGTAAAATTTGAAGATGTGGGAATAAGCTTCGTACTATCCTTATCATTGTATGACCCTCTCTCTGCAAAAGATGATACATGGACCTACACTACAAGCTATGACAGATATTAATTTATTGTACAGAGATGTAGGGGATCATTTTAACAAAGTAAGTAAATTATGTGGATATTTAGCTATTTATAACTATTTATGCATTACCTATTTGTTATAAAAAAATTTCAAACTGTCTGGAACTTCATTCTAAAAATAGCACAATTTCAGCTTTTTTTAAATAAAAAAACATTCAAAATTGGAATCTAAATAAAATAAGATAACAGCAAAAGTAACCTTTGCAACTAGGAATTCAAATAATGAAATACGCTGGTTGCTTATGCAATATTTGATCAAGGTCTTATTCTCCACGTGTAATGATAACATGACTCATTAATAATGAAATTGTGTTTTGAAGTTCATGATAACAAAGTTATGTATTCTACTTACCCGTAGGTACTTACTTTCAATAATAAAATATCACACGAACTAAGGTAGCTAAACATCACTACAAACCTAAACAGCATTAAACGTAGATTTAAAAAGCAATGTTATCGTTCGTGCTGGTACATTTAAACTAAATATTAATAACTTACTCAATGCTTTTCCCTTTTGCACAAAATGACGAATGACATCAAACCTATTATTATCACCTTAAACAAAAGACATTACGATGTTGTTTATTTACTTAAAACGCAGGAAGATATCCCTTGCAACATTTCGCAATCGCGAGGAGGATTACTACAAAATCGATGAGACATAAATTTCAACCTTCATTGAACACACAAAGTATACGCTGTAGTTTTCGTTCGGTAATCACTATATAACTTACAAATAAAAACCAAATAACTCTTTACAAAGACACAATTAGCATCATTAGATTATTTAATACACACCTCTTTGAATGGGGTTGATGTTTTCACCCTTTTTTAACTTAAACACACCCCAAAACTAGTGAAACATGGCGGCTAGGCACAAAGGCCAGTGCCAATCAGAAAGAATCCCGCTCAAACTGCGCTTGGGCAAAGGAATTTGTCAAGAGTGCGATGTAAAGGTAAACCTATTCGACGTTTTCCAAGGTTAATGCTACCAACACATTACGAATTTGCATTGTTATAGAGGCTATTTTTAAATTGAATACCTTCTCGTAGTAGGAAGATTAGTACATACTACAATTAGGTCCTCACGATAACAATGAGATACATATTTAAACATTGTGAACGCCTTTACTTCGAAGAAACAATGAGTAATTTTTTTGTAGATATTTTGCGCAAAAGCAAATCACATGCATTCGTAGCATATTTGCATGGGTTGAAAACGTGGGCAATATATAAAATGAAAAGTCAGGCTTGCTATCGTCAAAGAGTAACTAATAATATTCTTTGCTATCGTCTATATATTTTTTAATTTAATTAAACTAAAGAATTTAATTAACGATGGAGCACTTTTTGGACATAATTTTATGCAATAAATAAAACCATTGAATTCAAAATTTACACATTTTTTTAATAACGCCCTTGACCCTATGCGTGTCAACAGTGGCATACACTGTAAAAGTGTAAACAATGTAAGGAGTCCGAGCCCCCTCGATCATGTGCATGCCGCGACAGCGGGTATCTACCATCCCCAAGGTACCTATACGAATAATTTGTAGCTTTCGCCTAGCTAGATTAGAAGAGAAGGGGATCGAGAAAATCAGACCGAACAGGACAAACGAAATGATACTATTCAATTTTCCCCTCAATTTGCAATTTGCATTGCATGTGGACCAAACTAGTTTTGACTGCATCATCAATAAGATCTTGTCGAAGGCTACCACCTTCCCTTTGTCAGTACCCACTTTCGATACCCGCAATGCGCGTTTGAAGTTTTCACTCCGAAAAATCCTCTCGGGGGCTACCACATTCCCTTTGTAAGTAACCGCTTCCGACCTCCCGTCCCATATATATGTATATAGCACCCGTCGACCTATAGGGACGGACATGTTTGGTCCATTATATATACGAATGTCTATGGACATCTGTTGATCAATAATTACAATTTTTCAGGTGTATGCTGTTAACAAATTGCAAAATCTATCATGTACCGTGTACCGCTAAGCAAAACAATAAGTGTGCGTTTACAATGAACGTATACGTAAATATTTCATAAACCGTAACTCGTACATATCCGTATCGATTCCATAAATTTACTTCGCTGTTTACAATAAACCAAAGATCATACTACAAGTAGTATGATATTTGACCGTACGTAACTTTGAAACATTTTCAACCTTTGCGACTATGCGCAAGACTTACATATCGCTTACATATACGTACGTAAAAATTACGTTCATTGTAAACACCTTCGTATGTTTCAATACAGTTCAACTTTGCGAAATTTTTACGTTTTATGTATTTCTTACGTATACGTTCATTGTAAACGCACACTAAGGAAGCGCAAATTGTGTAAGTTTTACAATTTATTAGAATATTTGAATATATTTCAGTTTAACAGTATAAAATATGTCTTTTAACATTGGCAATATAGAAATGTTTGAAGCGAAACGTGCAAAGAATAAAAACGCGTAATGCACATATATGTAACTTTTTGTTTTAGTTTTAGTTTCAAGACAGAATTTTTAATTTTCGCGTGCCCTAGTACGCACAGTACATTAAATGGATATCTCTGAGATCTCCAGTAAAGGGGGTTCATTCAATGTTAAACATGAACATATTTGGGATGTTCAGTTTTGTGCGAAAGTAACATCCCGCGAACGTCCAGGTTACATCAACTGTACTTCACGTGGACGTTCAAGGAACGTTCTATAATGTCCATGACTGCACCACAGTATAGTATACTGAACGTCCTAAATGCATCCATAGGAAATTGTGAAAAATGGCAACTGGCTCCCGAACTATAATCTGCTCTGCCTCTGTCATGGAAACTTTCGTGACAGAAAGTAGGCATGAAATGAAGGTTTCATTTTGGGTAAATAACTATTTTGAAATGACATTCCTCGATAAATATTTACATAGAATTAGAGCGAATTGCAGAGATATAATTAAAAAAGAATCGAATTCAGCATTGATGTTTGTCTAAAATTGTTGGAAGATGCGGCTATTGTACCTACCTATATATTAAAAGGAAACTAGTTACTTACATCATTTGGCAAAAAAAACACATTTAACCAAAAATGTACAATACAATGAAAAATTATCATCCCACAATTAAAGTGTGCACAATGTTGGTTACGTAGTAGGTATATGGGAGCCTTCACCCTGAATATTAATATGGTAGGTATAGGTACAATAAAATTAAAGATATCAACAGTCAAAGTCTTGCGATGAAGCTTTCACTCATGTTAAACTTTTTTTTCATGTACTTCAGGTGCTGTAATGGCTTATCACTCTCAATCACCTTCTTTTTTAGCATTTTCATAAAATTCTCAAATAAGAAAGAAATCACATCAAGGGCCCATATGAATAAAAGCAATAGAGCCCCTTTACGTTAATTGCAATCAACTCAAATAGACAAAACTGAAAATGTTGTGGATGTTTAATAGTATATTGAAAGACAAGTGTTACAATGCGACCTATTGTAATACGACTATCTTGGGGCATGAGTGGCGACGCGAAGCGTAGCCACGAGTGTCCGCAAGATAGGAGTATTACAATAAAGCATTGTAACACGCGTTTTTCATACTATTTTTTCTATTTCGGTGCTTTAATTTAATTAAAAAATTCATTATCAGAAACTATAGGGAACATTAGAACTAACATGTTTTATGTTGGGAACACTTTTTATGCCGTTAAGTTTTAGGTTGGCAGCGTAGTAAGACTGACATTTTGAAGCTCAAACATGGAAGTACCCATATATGTAATACATATATGGAAGTACTCAACGAAGTACCTACTTGTACTAACCAGTAACTGCCAACTTAAGAGATGAGTTACCAAAAAAAACGACTATAATCACTGTCTTTGTACAACTGTTTTCGGGCGAAAATAGTTGTACAAAATCATCATTGTGACACCGAAATAGAAAAAATAATTTGTTGCGTTACTTAAATGATTGATAATAAAGCATGATAAATATACAAAACATGATATAAATAAGCAGGTTAAAAACAAGTTGGGGTAACAAGCATGTAACAAAAACAGGGTAGCTGTTAAGCTGTACAACAGGTGACTCATCTCTGGTGTGATTTAAACCCTTTTGTTCAAAGCAACAAATTACATGGACAGTCAAATTAACAACAAAAATATGTGGAAATTAATGAATCACAACTCATTATAGATTCTAAACCAAAGAGTTTCGCCCTGGGAACAGGTAACCTTGGCCCTCGTGCGGGAATTCCAAGTATAATTAAAATTAGAGATCAATCACAGCCTTATAGATGTCGTAACTAATTTGGTTAATGTTTTTACCCCCTTCACAGCCAAAAGCGAGGCGAAAAGTGTTAGTTTAATAAAAGTCCATAGACACATCCAGTAATTCTATAAGTTCCACTAATTTAAACGAATGACCAAATATATAAATTTAACTTGTGGCCAAGACCATAGTAACCAAAACATAACTATAAACTGAGGAAACCTTTACTCCAAAAATGAACACGATTTCAAACACTAAAAGTTAACGGCATTTTTCAAAAACGTCATTCCACATTGAGGTTAAATCATATCAATTTAAAAACAAAAATTGAAAATTATTTAAAAAAACAGAAAATACAGAACACAAATAAATTATTACCTTCATTAAAAAACACAAAAAACCGCAAATTTGAACTATCCTACCCTCTCTCGACAACAATTCAAACCAGGATGGCCGTAATGTAAAAAGGCGTTTTTGCTCTCGAGACGACGAAGAGAGCTTTTTCCTTTTTAAAAAGTCGCGCGGTTGCGATCTCTCAAAAGATTTGTGCATCGTCGTAAAAGTTATGTATACCCTGGTGCCTGGTGGAACCAGAGATTTGTTATACCTAGACCGCGCATAGCTCAAGTTGAATGTTGTCAACATGGTAGGCCACCCACCGAACTCGTAAAGGCAAGAACTTTAGCGCTCCAATCTTCACTATTTGTTTTTGCTGGGATTATATCGCTGAACTGGGCTAGTTTTTCAGTATTTTTTAAAATTTCTTTGCTGAATCGAAAACGCACACTTTCTAGACACATAATGTTCTCAGAAAAGGTTATAAACGGTAATAATGAAATAAATGTAATCTAGTGTAAATTTTCGTATAAGGTATTTTTTTACCGGATAGTTTACATCTAGGTATAGTTATGTATAATGAAATGGAAAAAGCAGAAAAGCACAAGAATATTTTGAGAAACAATCTTTGCGATAGTGTAACAGAGATATGAATTTGTTTAGTCGGCGTCTTTGTTGTACGTCGCGCAGAAACCTCCACGGATGTAATTTGTTTTTGGCACTTCAAGATCATATCATCATCATATATATCATAATCATGTCCTGCAGGCTGCAGTGAATAAACTTAATACTGAAGGTATTCTTTACAATACGTATTCATTACGAAAATAAGAAAATAAACGAAGTAGATGTGAGAATTAGACATTTATACAACAAATGAGTATTGTTTAAAAGCCAATAAACATTTTTATGTCGATAAGCACATTTCATTTTACCATTGAATAAAATTTTAATGCTATGATTCTAGTTATTTCGACTGGTTATATGTAGGATCTTGCTAAACTGGTTCGCGCTTTGCCATTACGAGTATGATGTGTTGCCTAAACATGTTGGCATCACTCTTT